GGGAAGGGAAGGGAAGGAGAGGGGAAGGGAGAAAGGGCGGAAGAGGGAGGAGGGAGGAGGGAGCAAACAAGCTATAAGGATTATCAGTAATTGGTGACAGAATTTTACATATGGGGAATAACTTTCTTATTTTTCTTTCAAGTGTTGATTTATATTGCCATGGCTTTGGGTAACTAGTTATTTTAGCATCATCAAGTATATCTAGTTAACCCTAAAATGGTACTCACAAGTCCAGGTTCCCTGTGGACCACTTACATTCACTGTCTTAAATGACCCTAATGTAGTAAAACTAAGGGAAAAATGTGTGCCACACGGAACAGGGACTGAGGATGAAAACTCACATGGGTGAAGGGAACCATCAAACTCTGTGATAAATTAAAAAGTAACAAAATCGCATTTTGAAGTCACCTTTTTCTAGAACACTAATATAGTACTTTCAGTAGTTATTAAGAATTTGCATTACTATTAATTAGTACTACTAAAAAATAAACTTTAGTAGTGCCACTTAGAATTAATAACAGAATAACAATAATGTATATACATACTTCCTATATGGCTCACTTCTTTCAACTTGTCAAGTATTTTCTCTCACGAGATCTTATAGCAGAATTCTTCCAATAATTCAAGATGTCATTCAAACACAGTACGTAGATAAACATAATGTAGATGACAGAATCCTAATATAGACATTACTTAACCACCAAACAGAGATGAAAGACAGCCTTGCAATTCCTAATCTTAACTACTTACTTAGCCTTACTACTATCTAAAACTTTTCTTTTATATGAACTCCTCCATGAATTGAAGCCAATGACTGCTATTCTTTAAAAAGGTAATAAAGGACTAATCTGCAAGAAACATAAACACATTTCATATACTTTCATCAACTAAATGAAAGAGAAATCATCAATGGTAAATTACAACTTTAATACATTTCAGTTGAATCTATTCCAACATGTACAGGAAACTTGCTTTTTCAAAATATAGCATTCAACGTTTTCTTAAATATTTTACCTTATACTAAAAGGCTAGTAAAATAGTATAATAAAGTCACTTCATAAGGAAAAGTAAGAGAAAGGGACTACATTTTATTTCTAGGACACTTCTTGGTTTTTGTTTTTTTTTTCCAGTACCGGGAATCGAACTCATGAACTTGCGCCCCAGGCCCTGGGACACTTCTTTTGCCCTTTTCTGAAACCTTAAAAAACTTCTACATTTTTACTAATGATACTGGACTACCAGCTAATTCACAGAGGGAAGAAAGAAACTACCTTCAAGGCACTGTCTGGACTATAACTGACCTAAATATTAGAGCTAATAAAAATCATTTATGGTATATTAAGATGAGTTTCTGCTACTTGTAACCAAAAGCATCATCCTAGAATTTCAAATATCAAATGCACTGACAGAGAGAAAGGGAATAGAATAGCTGCGATATATACTTTATATCAGTAGTATACACAGATCAAGATAATCTCCTGTGTCATTTCAAGAGATCCTTCTTTAGACAATCTCCACGCATTACCTGTGCATCAACTATTCAAAAGAGATTATCCTACAATGTGTCACCACCCAAATATAAAACACTGATTAGAAGTGGGATCAGAATGTGAAAGAAGAAGTAAAGTAGGAAGTTGAATTATTCACATCACGCATGCACCATGAAACCAAGATGCTCAGTACACTACAGATCCATTTGGAGAATCACAACAGAAGAAGACTGATGAGAGTTAGAAATTTTTGTGAGACATCATCATTTGGTTACTTGACAAAAAGGAATGAGCATGACAAGCTGGGTATAAAGAGGGATTTTCAAATGCACTGACCACATCTTAAACAAACACATTTGCCCTACTTGTACATTCATTTTTCCCCGAGAAGCACATGATTTTCCATTAAGAGATGTTTTCTTCACTATGCTTGCCAAAATACACAAGCACAGATACTGATAAATAGAGGGTAGGCATACCCACTTGCTTAGGAAAGTCTCACCTTACTGGAAATGCACTCTAGAGATTCTATCAAAGGGTGGAGTGAGGGTGGAGTGGGTTTGTCCACAGAATACTATGCTGAATATACAGTTTAAAAGGAGGGGAGAAAGTCTTAGTTTCTGTTTTATTATTACATTCAAGTCCTGTGCAGACAGGAAAAAGATTACATGCACATCCAAGCATACAGATTAGTACCACACATAGTGATACACAAATATTTTTAGGGTATATTAAATAATTGAATAAAGACAGGATCAAATTATAAGATGTTAAAAGGATACTAATGCCTATTGCATAGGCAGCTTTATCCTGAATTAATTAATCTTGGTCTACTTTAAAAGATCAAAATTAGAACTATTAAAGATATGTTTATCAGAATAGACTGCAAACAACAGAAAAATCATTACAAATTAGCAAATCTACTAAAAAAGGGAAGACTCAGAATAGTACCATATGTAGATTTCCCTCCTTTCACTAAGGAAATATTTTTATCATTAATTATACATCAGCTCAGAGTAAGTAGAAAGATGAATAAATTAAGATGATAAAGATAGAAGAAAAAAAAAAACCAAAGAAACAAAATCAAACTATGGCATAATTTAAAATTTTGATGTACATAACCCAGTAATTAAGCTCCTTCATTTCTATTATCTCTTTGATTTACCTGTGAGGAATCTGCTTGAGCTAATTCTGTGATGACCTTCAAAATCTGGTGAAGATTCGGTCCTTGATCTTCAACAAGGAGGTAAGCCAGCAGAAGAAAAACATGCATGGGCACAACTGTAGTAATAGGGAGTAAGGACTCCACTGAAGCCAACCAATCACTTGCTGCTGACTCTTCTCTCATTACTTCAAGAATCCTGCAGGCTGTAAATATTGAGCCATAAATGCTGGTTACAGGGAATGCAAGCCTATAAGAGAGCTGAAAAACACAAAAACAGGCATGAATAAATGAGATAAATATATTTGTGAGAAATATATTTCTGACATTCACTTTTATTTTACATTTCACTTGAAGAAATCATTCCTTCCAGCAAAATGAATATAAACTTTTAATTCCTGCCAAAAAGTTTGCATCCCACAGTGAGGTAATAGGATTAAAGAAAGAGAAAAACAGTTGTTAGAAGGAACTCTAGAAAAGTTTATCACAAGTGTTCCTCCTCTTTACCATTCATTCCTACTTATAATACAAAAACAAGAAATCAATAAACAGATCCAGAAGTAGCAATGCTTGGCAAAAGGCACTATCACTAAAAAAGGTATCCAGCAAAAAGAAAGAAGACAGAAAAACCACTGTATCTGCCCACTCCAACCCTCATAGAGGCTGCTCAGGGCAGATGGCAGACTTGGACAGAGGACAATTCATATTTGGAATAGAAAGTATGTTGAAAGGAACAGAGTTGGTTCAGCTGAAGCCTGTGAATGCATTAATGATTGTGAATAACTTCTGTAATTAAATGTAGCCTGACAGTTCTAAACTGAGTGATAACCATAGAAGATGTTATATTTCACTACATCTGAGAAATGGCTTCTCACAGAACAAACGTAGTGCACGCAGAGCCAGAGACTGAACAGAATGTTGCATGACACTGCATGCATGAATGGCCCAGAAGAAGCCACATATACTAATTACACATGGCCTACTAATAAATCCAAAACATGTACAGTGTTGTTGTAGTCAGGGTTTACAAGGAAAAGATTTAATACAGAACACATCATTTGTAAAATTATAGTATTCACCCAGAGGGTCAAATGCAGAAGAGTGTGAGAGATCTATTCACATACTACAGACCCAAAGAATCCAGCTGAGGGCCTAGATCCCACAGCAATGACCTCCATGAGTTCAGCTGGAGGCCTAGAATACATGACAATGTCTCATGCAAATCTGTATTAAGGATCTGCACCAGGAAGGCACAAAGGTCAGTGGTGGAAGCTAGAAAGTCTGTGCCAGCAGGATGAAGGATGTGTGCCAGCCAGCTAAAGGATCTGCATTGGAGAAAAAGAGCGACGCTCAAAGTAAGGACCAGAGCTGCCTGAGAAGAACTACAGCCATCCTCAGTGACAATGAGGTCCTGAGCGCCTCTGATGATGAGAACACCTGAGTTCATACCAGGAAAGCCAGCGTGACAAGCTTCTCCAGGAGAATCAACAGCACACCTTCTTCCCTTCACTTCTCCTTCTATGCTGTTGGCAACAATACTCAGGTGGACCTTCCACACCCAGAACACTGATTCAGTTCAGCTGGGTGTTACAAGGTGACCACCAGTTGTCAATCCACCACAAGGGTGATGAGACAAATCAGAAATCTCTAGATTATAACTGTCTGGTTATTGAAGGCTAACTTATTTAAATAAAAATGACTGAAAGGATAAGTAAAACTTAAACTTTATAAAAATTTGTAGTAACAGATTTATTGAGATACCCTAAAATGCACAGTGGATCTTTTAAAGCTTACAGCACAGTGGATCTTACAAACTCATGGAGTTGTGTAACCATCATCCATATAGTAACTTTAAAACACCTTCATCACCCCAAGGGGAAACCTCATGCCCCTTAACAGTCACTCAATTCTCTCTCCACTCCCCCTCCAAAACCGTGGAGACCACTAATTACTTTCAATTCCTATTCTAGTTATTTTATATAATAGGAACCACACAATACATAGTCTTTTGTGACTAGCTTCTTTTACTTAGCATGTTTACAAAGTTCATCTACATCATAATTTGTAGCAGTACTTCATTCCTTAGCAAATAATATTCCATTATAGGAATATACCATATGGATATTTGGCTTGTTTCAATTTTGGGCTATTACGAATAATGCTCTGAACATCACTATAAATATCTTTGTGAGGATATAAGTGTTTAGTTCTCAAGTATATGCTTGAGTATACCTGAAATTTATTTGAAATTAATCACTCTAAAAACAAATGAAGAAGTTCTGTCTCTATTAATAAGAAAAGGTTTTTGGAATGAGAATACTATACACAGATAACAAGCTACATTTTTTAAAGAGGCTAGGGAGAAAGGATTATATGTTTACATTTGCTTATAGATGCACAGAAAAGTGTATAGGCAAATATAGAAAAAAGCAGTCACCGCTGATCATCCTCTTCCATTTGGGAGGGTAAGAACTGGACCACTGAACTCAAGACCAAAAAGAGGCTTCTCATTGCAGATTAATTTTATGTTTCTGAACCATGTGAATGTATTACTATTTCATGTGTATATATATATATATATATGTGTGTGTGTGTGTACTCCAAAAATATATACACTATAATACATACGTACATTCTGAAGTAATATTACAAGTGATACATAAAAGTATAAAATGTGAAATAATGCCTATATAACTGTATCTCTATAGTTCTATCTCTTTCAAACTTTTCTCCCCAAGACAATTAAATTCATTAATGAAGAGGAGCAAGTTTTTTGGACTAATGATAGGCAGCAGTGAACCTGAGATTTAAAAAAGCAGAACTTCAGCACAGCCATGCCAGCCCTTAGTCATTAGGTAGGACTTACTTTCATCATTTGTAAAATTTCAGTAACAAATAACTTTCTGCCAAGGTTAATGAGGCACCTAATAAAGAATCTAGCATAGTGCCTAAAATGGCAAAATACAGAGAAATATCATCCCTCTCCTCATGGAGAAAAAAAAAATAAAACCAATGGATATGAGTATGAAAGAACATAATTTGGAAATCACCACAAATCATAAGTTAAATCAAAACCAGGAATATTATAGAGACACGTAAGAGTAGTCAATAAAAGAGAAAGGCAACCCCGTATTATTTGAAGGACTGTGTCCAGGATAAGGCTCTCTTTTCCATTTGTTTACCAGCTTTACTATGGTGAAAGCAGTAGAAGAAAGGTACAAGGTTAAATAAGATGTCAGAAAACAGTATCTCTGCCACACTAAGTGGCAGCAGCCATTGGCATAGTCCCAGGGCCAGGACGTAGTGTGGGTTTTCTCTCAGCACCAGCAACCAATCCCAGCCCACCTGAGGGAAGACCTACGAAGTGTTGGCAGCTTTCATTTCAAAGGAGAAAGTGGTCCTAAAAATAAAAAGCAAGTATGTTATGTGAATTCCTAACCCACTAAATAAAAGAGAAAAGAAACCATAGAAAAAGCAAATTTAAATATATACAACATAGTTTTGTTTTGTTTGTTTTTAGTTTTTTGTTAGTTTTCTTTTGTTGGTACTAGGGATTGAAACCAGGGACTTTGTACTGAGCTACATCACCAGCCCTCTTTTGTTTTTTTGGTTTGTTGGTTGGTTGGTTTGTTTTCTGAGACAGGACTGTAAAACATTTTAGAAACAGAAGTTCAGAATCTTTATTTTAAAAGTCTTTACTAAAAATGTTCAGATACATTAAGTGTTACTCATAAGACAGACTATAAAATAATACATATTTAACTAAAGGTGTCTTGAAAAGGAATAATTTATGCAGGTGAATGATATAGGTTTTTATTAATGGTAAAGAATAAGACTCATCTATAGTACTACAAGAAGCTTAACAGGGGGCTGGGGATTTAGCTCAGCAGCACAGTGCCTGCCTGGCAAGCGCAAGGTCATGAGTTCCATTCCCAGTACCTGAAAAAAAAAAACAAAAAAAAAACAAGCTTAACAAAAATGGGGAGAAAAGATAAGGGAAATTCAACCTTGGAGTATCCTAAAAGGAGGACAGGTCCTAGCATT